TGGTCAAAAAAATGCGTGGGCTTTGTCTCATGAGTTCAAACTGGCACCGTTTTCTTCATGTTCATGTGTCATTCGAAACGAATGGCGTCAGCTTTTTCTTTCTTGTTTATTTCCGTAGAATGCTTCTGCATTGCGAAATTAGGTTTAAGTCAAAATTTTTAGACGAAACTTGCACAATAATTTAATCAAACTTGCTTGATTCGCCGAATATGATACAGCAAATGGACAAATACTTAATTATCATAATCCTGCTCTTTCTGCTTTTATTGTCTAATTAAACGTTTACAACATTTACTTTAGCCTTAAAATTGCCAAGTTTGAACCATGTAAACCATTCTTCCAGTCTCGCATAGCCATCCTATCTAGATATTTCACAAAATGGCTGACATGCCCAGATGAACTGGTTGCAATTATGCCACCGTGGAGACCATGCATTTCAAAAAGACAAATACTTGTTTGATTAAAACATAGTACCATTGAGTTGTCTGGTGGCACAATCAATACTGCTGCAAGTGATTGATGCACGTGATGGTGTTGTGTAAGGTGGTCTTCAAGGTCTCTCACAGTAAAAAAACCTAGGTCTGAAACAATTTCAAGTTTCTTCACATTTTTATCATTTTGTCCATGCTGAAGGACTTCTCTGACTTCCAAATTTGGTTGTTGAACTTGTAGGTTGAAAGAGTCATATAACTGATTCCCTTTTATCATGAGATTAATATACATAGGTATTGTGATGCTAAGGTCTTGTAACTGCTTGGGAATTTGAAGGGTTCCTTCCAGAAAATGAAGTGCAGCAAGCACTGAAATAACGGTGCAGGCATTACTGCCACTAGGTCTTCCACCTATGGAGGACTGGCAAATGTATGAGGGCAGAAGCCACTCAGTAACATCACGATGTTTTGCAACAGTGACATTTATGCGAAGAGTAGTCTGAGAATCTGGTCTTGGTAATGGAGCTGATTGGTTGTCGCAAGTACTCTGAATGCTCTCGTTCAGGCTTGCTGTGTGCCATGAACAAGGACAATTTGAGCAGCTGACATTATCACTGACTGTACATATACCATTTTCACAGAAATGACTTTTAACCTGTACGTTGTTCTTCCTCTTGTGTCCACGAATAGGATAGTAACATCGTCTACAGTGGGGAGGTGCCTTGTTGGGTGAAGGTGTGGGTTGGTGATAAGTTTGACTCTGGCTAAGGTTGGAAGAGGTGAGTGTTTGAGTTGCTGGATTTGAAGGTTGGAAATTTCATCGTTCAGCTGTCTGACGACCCTATCAAACTCCTCCCTCTCAATTTCTCTTACCGTAGAGATTTCATCTAAAGAATCTGTTGGCACTGCTGGTGTTTCATTACTATGATCATGTTGGGATTCAGTTTCATGCATGTTAGATGCAGGGTTTAGAATGGCTTTTTTTGCTGTCTCACCAAGCTCTTTTACTTTTTTTTCCAGAAATCCCTTACAGAGTGGGCATGAAGTTGATCCTTCAAGGCAAACATCATGGAATGAGTGATGACAACCATGCAAGAGGGTCCAATTCTCATCTAGGCTGGAAATATTACACTGAGGTAAATCACATTGTTTTGTTTGATTTGGCTTGATATCACAGTGATACCCTAGAGGTAAAACAGCAGTTGTCATATTTTTGTTGGGAGACATTGTTGGCAGTGNTAGTAAGTCTCCCTTTGACTTCAGTCTAAGTTCTACAAAATCTAAGAGGTGCAAATCATCCATTTTACGCATCATTCTCACATTTTCACTGTCACAGTATTGATGAATGTTTAATCTATGTCTCTCAAGTTCAGGATTAAAAAATGCTTTTGTCAGCCAGTCAGGCATCACAGAAGCATAACTGTTACTGATGTCATGCATAGATGATGCAGCAGTAATTAGTTGTATGCAGGATTCAATGTCTATACCATTTTGGTCATGTGTACAAAGGGCATGTGTTGCTGGTACAGCTTGAATATCTTTAAAAGCTTTAACAACTAGAGTACACATTGTCTTTGCCTCTGACAATTTTTCCTTCTGTGGCCTTCTTTTCTTGTGGATGGCTGTGTAATCATCAATTATTAGGACTATTTGCCATTTGCGATCTGTAGCTGTGGCCATGAAATCTTCTCAAGATGTGAAATGGGACTCTGACATTTTGTGCATAACATTGTTAAAAGTTCTCCTGGAACATGTATGCCCCATGATATGTTCTGTTTCAATGCCATCTTGATTTATCTGATTGCTCCTTAGATAAAGAGCATGGTCCATTTGAAGAGGATTGCATGTTTGGCTGAGACAGTCGCACAAATTATAATTGAATGAAACAAACCTTTTTTTGTTTAGGCGTATGCGGTCTGTGGAATACCAAAAGCTAGTGATGGAACCCAGAATAGTATCCAATAACTTTGTAGCACCTGCTGATATGCAAAACTCTCTGAAACTGTCTGAATCATACAGTGGTTCTTCCTTGTTAACTACTATGTCACCGTAGATCTTTTTTTTTGACCGCCTCCCGGTTAGCTCAGTTGGTATAGCGCTGGACTGTTGTGCGGGAGGTCGAGAGTTCGACTCCGGCCGAACCAACACTCAGGGTCTTTAAATAACTGAGAAGAAAGTGCTGCCTTTGTAATAGTATCTGCAAAATGGTTAGACTTTCTAGTCTTCTCAGTTAGGGACGATAAATGGAGGTCCCGTCTCACAAGCCCTTATATGTGATAAAAATTGTGGGACGTTAAAGAACCCACACACTCTTCGAAAAGAGTAGGGCACGTAGTGCCCGGTGTTGTGGTCTATCTTTGTGTAGTGTCTAATTTAGGGTGAATTGGGGAGGGAAGGTTAGATCAATACATAGACTGAAGTGGCTGCATAGTGCGCCTGATGAATTCTGACGTCCGATCTCACCTTAACTGATTGTAAAGCGCGACTGATTATCTATATAGTAGTTTGCGCTATATAAATGTTAAATTGTTGTTGTTGTT